AAAGGGAAAAATTCTTCAGTTCAACATTTCTCGGGATAGGGTGCTCGACCCAAGAAGAAGGAGAGCCTGGCGTTAGCCGGGCGATCCGACTGGTTATATATAGTAGGATATGTTTAAGAGGGGTATCAAGCGACTTGCACTCGACACAAATACCTCGGTGAGAGCTCCCACAAGTGATGGACTGTGTTGTGACACGCCCCCACGTTGAACCCCGCCCACAGATAGCCAATGATTTCCAGGAACTTTACTCTCTCGGAAGTCACTTCTCCTCTTTTCAGTTCAAATCATGCAGTATTTGCGCTTCTGCCTCCTCGCAATTTGTTCAATTCAGTTACTTTTCAAACCCCATAGCAAAAATCTACTCCTACTGAGAACAGCTTTATTCGGAGCACTTTCAGCAAGACCTTTTCATCCCTCTTGTGAGAAATACCAGTCTCACAGCAGTTTTCATCTACACCGACCTATCGACACTGCCTATGAATAGTAACTTCTAGAAGCATCCCGTGAATTCATTATTTGAATATTTTTCTAACAGCTGAGTAAACTCCCAGATTGCCCGTGGACCTTATTCTGAAGCTGATTGGCTAGAACAGGATGCGAGCTGATGAAGGCGGGTGGGAAGGATCGCCACTCACTTTATCACAACCACCTAAACACAGCAGGAGGATGAAAGACACTAGAGCCACCTGTAAAATGCATGATACTTTCAATAGGATCGCCGCATTGCCAACAAAAACGGGTACGACACCGTAAATTGGCACATCTCACAAAGCTGCAACCTTCTTTTTCAACGTACATCGACTGAAATAGGTCGGATAAAGCTGTCTTGGACGTAGCAATCGATCAATACCCATACCTTGCACAGAGGGCATTGCTTTACGTATTCGTTACCACCACATGCGTAATAGATAACATCCTTGTTGTGATAGTATTGAAGCCACTGACGATGATCGAGTGGCATAAAGAGATTCAAGCCGTCCTACAAAGGGATAGATGGAGGGGTTCACAAGCAGGAAAAGAATAAGTGCTGACTGACTTCCTGTTCGTCCAGTACCGCATTGATGTCGTTTTCGTGTATTCGAGTTGGACAGATCGGTTTGACACATTTTATACGAGCCTTGGCTTTATCGCGAATCCAATACTAAAAGAAACTATTGGAAAAACTGATTGATGCATACAGTACTACCCGAGGTCACAGAAAAACAAAGTCCGTATCAGTTGCCTATTTCCATTTACATCTGAAGCATTCTCGAGGATTATGAATCGGGTTCCTTTGAGAACGCTATGGGCCATTTTCAGCAGCCCCGTTGATGGCTGCACTGCCCTTGCGCCTGATCCCCTTTCATCACCATACTTCGATGGAACGGCATGACTTAATAGACTAGTATAGCGGCAAGCTGTTTCTAATTGCTTTGTTTACAGTTTGCTACTGTTTTTCGCTGAAATCCGCGATTGATGTGAAACTCTAAAGTATAATTAGCATGGTGGTATATTCCGAAGAATGTTCCGATTTCGAATGTTCACGTCTCCTAATCACTTAGAAAGGAT